TTCTAAATTTGAACAACAATGAATCACTAAACAAGGACATTTCAGAAGTTTTTGTTCGCATGTCAGTGCAACACTGAAGCTTTTTCCCCTGAATAACACCATCGTGAGTTTTGCTCATTAATTTCGAAATTCGAAGCAACATAAAACCTCGAAGACCTCAAAATACCTTTTAAATAAAAAAAACCCACAATAATCAGCAGGTTAATGAAAGACAAAGGTACATTTTCAGGTATTGCCAAACAGATTGCCTTGATAGACCCTGCAATGATAATACTGGGAATACCCATTTGAAAAGAGAGGACGGCATAAAAAATTGCATGGATGGCCGTATTGAATTTCCACCTGAAAAGAAGTTAAAGCTACATGAATTTCAAATATCAACACCATATAAATTAAATATCAATATTTATAACCCCATAACCATTTTAATGTAAAAATAAACACGATTTAAAACAAATATATAGCAGATGACCTGGAAGTTGAAACCCAACTCAATAAATGCAAAAGTATAAACCGCTGTAGACCTCATATCAGCATTTATATTGCGTCATAATAATATCATTATTCTATTAGAAGATTTCAATGCTTTAAAATGCAGCATTATTTAAGATGACTTGACTATGACTCAGTTACCCAGTTTTGTTTCAGAAAACTCAACGTTTTGTTCCCTCGGGTGCACGTGATAACAGAATCTTTATGTTGAATTCCTAAACAGGCAAAGACTCAAGTTTGCACTCGCCCACTAAGGGATTCTCACTTAATAGGCCTATCGGCCCTTGGCTTACTGGTTATGAATGGTATAATTCTGTTTCGAATGTTGCAATTGTGTATCAGGCGCATAAATATGTCAGTGATGTGACAAATCAGCACTATTTTCATTTTCCAGAAATTTCATTTGTTAAACGTAAGAACGATTACACCAGCTAAAACATCTGATGCAAGAACGTCAACTGAAAGCTTTTGACAACAAACATGTCAGCTACATCCCTCCAATAGACTGACTGCGCCAGCTAAATCACGTGACTTATAGTGGGTATCAATGCCATAGCAACGTGTGTTTTTTTGTGTTGTTTACAAACAACAGAACAAAGTTACGGTATAATACCCTGCACATCATAAGTCTGAGTAGTTACCTACCGACAGCTTTATTTTTTGGCAAATGATACTTCGGAGACACTTTGCTTTTAGTGGACGCCGTGTTTGTTGATATTTAATGCCCACTACAGGTCATGTGACTTAGTGGGAGCAATCGGTCAACTGGATAGGCTTACATAATAAAGATCTGGGTCTGGTTAATGAGCAGAAGTCTAAATACTATAATGATTAGAACGCTTCTTTCAGATCTGGCCATCCTGAAAAATGGCATCGGCAGTTAAAAATATTGGTTATTTCAAAGTTGACCTAAGTATCGATTTAACATGCGTATATGGAGCTCAAAGATCATCTTGCTAACATTTGTAATCAAGTACCTGCTTTAGATAACAAATAGTTACCATAATATTTGCCATTGGAGCCCCACCTCTAATATATCGTTACCAAGTTCTAACAGAAATGAACCTTCTTAATTCACCAAAAGCCGGTAGTCCTTTGGATTTGCCTGTTAGATCAATTAAGGAATTGTTTGTTGAAATTGCCAATCTTTGAAACTTTTTGAATAAATGTACTGAACAACAAGTTTTTCCTGGATTGTAGAGAACTGCTACAATCATTCCCGTACCTAAAGACAGCGAAATCTCTTTTTTTAAAACCAATTAACACCAATTGCACTCACTCTCATTTTGGCACGCATATTTGAATCATTCATAGCTGAATGAATTTTATAGGATTATAAAGATGAACAAAGAAATTGACTGGAGCGGGATTAGAACCTGAGGCCTCTGGAATACCGTACCAGTGCAACTGCTGTCAGTTTCCCTACATGATTTGTTTCATGATTTATGTTAAAAAAAGCCGTATCCTCTTTGAGTGATCCCTGTTTACCACTTCCCAGGTTGTATGTAATATTGGGGTGTGATCCCTGGTTACATGGTGTTTCAGGTTTAATGGCTTCTGGCTATAGCGCCCCCGAACAGAGATATTGACAAATGGGATGAGCCACCAACATAGGGCTGGGTAGCTCAGTTGGTAGAGCACTGGTACAGTATTCAAGAGGCCGCGGGTTCAAATCCCGCTCCAGTTAACTTCTTTGTGGATCTTATAGGACATCAAGTGAAATCTAGATATTAAACAATACGGTGATATGAAGGGTTTGTAGCACAACGCAATACTTGGCAGATCTCTTAAATTTCATTTGTGTCGGATTTGATAATGCCAGGTCATTTTGCTCAGTTTTGTAAGATTGAGTTTACCAAAGCTTTTGATCATCATACAATTGTAATCCCAAAGCTATTAGACCATGGAGTCATTGTACCTATTGTTTGCAGCTTTCTCACCAAACGTGTAAATTGAATGATCAGATCTCTTCTACTCCTACAATTACATGTGGGGTGCTACCGAGTTCAAAGTTGGGTTCTATTTTTGACACTTGCCAACGATGCTGCAATACACTTTTGCATACGATGAAAGTATGTATGACTACCTGACAGTTGGTGATATTATGAAACTTGGGGATCAATCACAGTTAAGAATCTCACCATCATGATCTCTCTTGATGTTGTCAACAACATAAGCCATCCAAATGTCAAAATATGATTATCAGCTATTTAAGAGGTAATGTGCCGAAATATGTGCTTTCAACTAATGGGGCAAACCTACATCAGGTTTCACGTTTAAAATTATTTGAAAACACAATTCGGAATGATTTGAAGTGGAATTTACATGCTGCTCTCCAGAGTTTCTCAAATATTATACATATTACATAATCTCAATAAGCCAGTGCTCCCACTACCAACGTGGTTACCTGTTTATACTGCCTTTATCAGACTCATATTGGAATAGGCCCCTATACATGACCTGTATGCATGCAGTGGCGTATCCAGCTTTTGGTGTTATGGGGGCAAATCCAAGATTGAATGCGGCTTCGGGCTCATTCAACATGATGTTTGGGGTAAAAAAAGATCAAAAGCCTTACTCACGGTCCCAACGTCCTTGCCTTTTATTTGCTTGTGCAAATTGCCCCCATCCCCACCCCCCCAGATACGCCACTACCTGTATCACATTCATCAATCTCAAAAGAACAAAGTAATTCGATTGAAAGAGTGCAAACACATGTATGTTCACTCCTTCCACTTAGTTTGTGCGCATGCGCTAAAATACGGTAAAGTCATGGTCTTCTTTGTTGCTTGTTGAAATGGCGACGCTGGCCAGCAAACGGTTATACGAAAACCCATCAGCGGAGATCTCCTGCATTGTGTAAAAGTTTGCTGAATTTATACCACAAAAATATTATCACGCTTATTTTCATTTTGTGATGCGTTTCTTGTTAATCATAAGTGACTTCTCGGAGAAAATGGGGTGGAAGATGTCTGTGTATGCTACATTTCATAACGCAAAAGAGGGTATTTTACAAACGAAATTTTGAATTATTCCCAGATTTTCCCATACATGCTATATATCTTAGTAATTGAAATAGTGTTTGGAAAAGGATACCATGTTATGTTTAAATTATTGCGAATTGGCTTTCGTTAGTTTTATCAATTTCAACTTTGGCTCACTATCTGTCGATTAATGGTCGGCCATGATGTATGTGTGCAAATGTGTACGTACTTGTACATATATCATGTACACGTACTCCATCAACGCGCAAATAGGCCTAAATGCACTTCTATGGACAAATGATTCTTGTGCGAAAAATTCAATTTGCAATAACTTGAAAATACTACTGATGATTATATCAGGTCTTCATACACAAGGTACTTTATTTCATTAGTTTGGATAATTCATTTTACCGCATCTACGGTCAAATGCATTATACATACATGACTTTCTTTGGCACACTTGGTCTTGCCTATTGCTGGCATATGAAATTTCCCTGTCAGGTATTTGCTACATTAAACGTCATCCCATTGGCATCCTGCTAGATTCATTTATTCATGTTTCTCTGTAATGGACCAATGAGAGCTGGCCAAATCGTGCAATCTCGGGGAGAAGGCGCGAACGATAGGATTAAGTGTCACTTTTGCTGCAGCTATTAAACGAGCAACTTCGTTCATTTCGTTTTCCGGTGAGGCGGTATATTTTTCTGGGTTTTGTACCTTGGATGGACCTTGGAACATACCTTCGTCTGGAGCTGCGGGTGCCAGCAAGCTTTTGCCACATCCAGGGTGTCTTCTCTTGGGAGGTACTTTGGTTTTCCTGTGCCTCGCCAGATATCATCTTGGCCTTTGTGGAAGTTTCACTAAACGTTTGGCCAAGGCCTTGCCTACACAGCCCAGCTATGTACGGCAGATATTTCGCCCCCTTGGTCTGCGCTGCTGGCGCCATACCGCTTGCCTTGCATGGATTTTGTTTGAAGAATATCTGTTTCCAGCGGCAGTGTTAACGTTGCCGGTCTTCTAGGGAGCCTACTTCACCAATTGAGTCGGCAACATCTTCGACATGCCCCGGCCGAGCCGCGGCGGTGGGAGACCCTGTGCCCTCCTACAAAACGTCGGCAGCCTACTGCGCGCCCCCGCTAACAGGACCGGGCCAGTTTCCGGCGGTACACCTGTGTTGTCTCCAACGATGCCGGTGCAGACGGCAAGTATAGTGGAGCACCCCATCAAGGATCAGTCTTGGTCTACGGCAACTTCGTGTGCTGCTATGTCTGCAACAGCTGCAGGAGCTACAACCAGTGCTGACAGCATGGGCAGAGCTACCGCGAGCGGGATGCCTACAGCTGGACCGACCACTACAGCTACAAGTGTCGACTGGGATCCCTGCCCAGCGCCTTTTTCCTGTTCGCCCCACGTTAGAACGGGTGCGCTTGTACATGGTACCTTGTGGGGTACCGGAACAATGGAAGGTACCCCACAAGGCCAGTTTTGATCCTTGTGGGGTACTAAAGTGGTACTGCACAAGAATTTCACGAAATAAATACTTCAAACTTACTCAAAAAGGAGGAATTTTCAAGTGCCATTCATCTGTCGCAAAATAAAGTGTTTAGGCCTATATAAGGGACATACGGTCAAAATTTCAACCCAGGAAACTAAATTTGGTTGAAATGGCAGTGACTTGAATTTTTTTCGTGTTGTGTGGGAGTGTTATACACGATAACAAAGGAAATACCCCACAAGTATACATATGTAAGGGTGTGTGAGTTTGGCAATGCGCCACCGTGTTGGGACTGTGGACACTACCCTCCGCGTTGGGCCTAGTACTAGTTTAATGTTAGCAGCAGTGTCATTTCTGGGTCCTCTGTTGAACTTTGCTATGGGCCTAATGGGGCTAGGTTTGCATCTGGGGTTGGTTTTAATGCGGGGGCTGGTGAAAATTTATTATTTATAGCTTGTTTATAGGCATGGGCTTAGCGTGAATATGCTGGGAGGCAACGCAGCGCTTGGTCACCATTCTTTGCCGGCATTACCACCCGTTCAATCAGTGTACAGTGCCGACGCTCCCCTTACTGTGCCGAGGCTGCCGACCGATACCAGTTCAAACGGGGGAATGGGCCAGAGTCGAAACGTCGTGGGGGGTAAAGCCAGCTTGCTGTATAGTAGGCCTCGTCCAATCTTTTCGGCACCAGATGGTTTTTCCTCCGGGGGTTTAGACCTTTATGTTTCACAGGCGACAAAAGAGAAAATTTGGAAAAGTGAATATATTGATTTGGCGACCCTCTATAGTTATAATGCTGTCTCGGCCTTATCGAATGCAAATGCTAGCCCCTCCATGACACTGGAAGGGGGCCAAGTGGTTCTGCAGCTTGCGGCTACCCAGAGGTAGAAAATTGATTCCATTGACAAATGGACTAGCGCTTTCCATGTTTTATGGCAGTTTTGTAACATGTCATCCAGGGCGTGTCGCACAGCTTTTGAAGTATGTCGAACCGCCAAAGAAAGTTGCTTTGCAATTTCCAGGCAGTAGGGTTGGCGTTTCTTCGATGACAAGTTCCATTTGCGCCAGGAATGTTACCGCCTTCGTTCGTGGGCAGAGCTGGATGTTGAGCTGTAGGCCACAGTAGCAGCTGCATTTAGTTTATCCCGGGCTAGCAACACGTTTGCCAAACCTGCTTCGACCAAAGGCGGCGTCAGAGCTGGCGTACCTTCCAGGCAGTCTATGTTGCGGTCTGGGCAAGTTTGTTTCAACTTCAACTCAGACAAAGGGTGCCACTGGCAGGGGTGTAAGTTTGCGCATAAATGTAGACGGTGCGGGATCGTTGGATATGCTGCTTTTGCCTGTAACAATCGCCCAAGGTCTGGCGTTGTGGGGAGTGCACCAATTTAGGACTTACCACCTCTATAAGTTTCCTTATTAGGACAATTTGTAAGTCCTTGTATATTGTTACCGTAACCGTTGTTTTAAGCGTAGCTGGCACCCATCTGTTCCAGTGGGACTTATCCAACCGCAAGTACCGGCGGTGGAGACACTGTGCAATTTCTAATATAGATTACACCATTCTGTGAGCACAGGTGGCATCCACATTTTCTAGTGGATCTTATATATCCATACGCAAGTACCAGCGGGGACCAAAATATGTGTACTTTCGGTGATACATGCATACATGTATCTATATACATGTATGGTAGTTAACAGTTTTGGTTTCTTGGGAACTAATTATGGAATATTTAGTTGGCATTTTTCATTTCTGCTTCAAGTTGAACGGGTATAATAGGCCTACTTATTGACAGGCGTATCTTTGGGGTTTCGAGTTTTTATATCGGCATCCATGTTGTTTCATGTTGACACCTGTATCAAACGTGCTGGGTGTCTTATTTTGTACAGATGTTTGGTGAGCTTTACTCCTGTAGCAAGCGTGCTGGAGGTGTTGGTACATATTGTGATACTTTCATCCCCTCGGGTAAGCGTGTCCAATGTTTGTTAGTAGCACCTTTAGCAAGCAAGCTGAGTGCCTGTTTGATGTTCATGTAAGAGATGCATGTATTTTGGGCAAGATGTAGCCTTTTCTGTTGACGGGGAAACATCCCTATTTCTAGTTGATCGCTCATTGACACATTTAGAGGTTGAATAAAAGCAGTTATGTAAGCTGCAACAGACAGTCAAAGTTAGTCTACGGTTCTTTCATTGGATTGTCCATGTTTAAACTGGAGAAGTGGTTTAAAAATGTGAGAGACCGCGGGAGTATTTTCTTTCAAATCTGGATCGTATTACTTTTTTACATCACGTTTTCAGAATCTGTTTCAATTTTGTGAAACTGGGTTCATATAATACGGTGGTAAAATATTGTCTGATCAATTTTAGTCAACAGGTTATCTCCGTTTGTTTGTATTTTATTAAAAATAAGTAATGGTCTCCATCCGCAAAAAGAAGTGCTGGAACAGTGTCCCACGTCGTCTGCCTCAAAATCCACGAGTAAAGTAGTCGAGTATGCATGCACTAACTCTTAACTAAGTGGTGCACAAAGGGAGTGAAGATACGTAAACAACGGTCTTTTATACCTCTTTGGCTCTCAATACAATAATTATTACGAGGCCTTAAAACAATTGAAATTACAGTAATTAGCCATTAGATGGTCTCAATTGTTTATTGAATTTGAAATTACTTACTGCTGACAGATTCCTGGATATGCTCCCACAGCAAAGCGAAAATGGTCCTCGACTCAGAAGTAGAAATTACATTTGTCTTCTTGTTCCAACGCGCAACACTGAGTATTATAAGCGCTCGCCTATACCGTGTTTGGCCAAAGTATTGTAATAGGAACACTGTTTTTATTATAATCATTTTTTTCATGTTTTTGATGGTTGTATAGATATTGACTGATATTATTTTTGTGAATTTATTTGAAATAATATATTTTGGGGTATCTATGCAATCAACATGATGTTGTTTAATTCCAAATTGTTGTAATTTTTGTGTATTTTAAAAACCTCAATTTTTTTAGAGCAAAACAATCATTTTTATTTGTTTGCCTTGTTTGATATTTTGACATGAATAAACCAACTATATCATGTTGTCGGATGCTAAAGAAGCCATGCGTTTTACACATGAACCAATAGAGAAATAAAGCATCAGCTTTCTTCAGAATAATTCCTTAAGTACCTGCCCATCAAGTCACATTTAAATGAAACATGGTAGTAACTTTGACAATGTGCTACAGTCCGTTTTTTTGCTGCATACTTGTTTTTTCCATATTTGAAAAATCTGTTACTCTTTTCCATCCGACGTGACTGACGTCATATATTTTGATTTATAGCTAGTCATGCATTATTGTCCTTTTTGTTTGCTTTCTGCAACTAATGCAGACAAACCCAAAGGATTCTCACACTTTATGGTGCCCATGCTTCCCTGCATGGTCTTATAGTCTATGATGTATTTGAACAGCCTCCGTATAAAGCTGGGAACGTTCATGGGTTTATTTGCAACTTTCTTATGTTGCAGGTTTTAAGTACTGCCTTATACTTTCAGTGGAATTCGCCAATTTTGTTGTTTGAATTTTTATCTTTTAATCCATTTCAATTTTTGGTCCTGGTATTTGTACTTTGTTTCCCCTTCAAACTTTTAAAATGTTATTTTAGACAAGATTGCATTTTTGACACGCTTGGAACTGAGATCGCACAACGTTTTTGTAAGGGAGCTGCTCGCAGTAAAGCATGTCTCTGTTTTTAACAGATGACACCCTTTTTTAAACGAGAGACGGCATCTTGGTTAAAGCACCAACATGCCATCTTTTGTTCCCACTGCGGGATGAGAACAATGTTAGCTACACGTATTCTAAGACACTGGTCACCCATCTAGTTATATATGTACATTGCAATAAAAAACACTTATCGATTAGCCGAGGGGTTTACACTTCCTTGTAGCAGGTAGGTTCTTTGTCTCCTTGTCCGTACATGATAGAGTTAGCTTGGTACTGCGTATAGAGTAGTGGTGTGTATCCGAGGATGTCGCCGAAGTACCGGACACACTGAGTGCGCTTGATGTAGTGAGACTTGTGAGCAGAAATCGAACTCTTGCAATTTACACATGGAAAATCTGAGTGGCCACCAACCTACAAAGAATGATAAAAAGGAACACACAATACACGTAATTTTGGTCACTGATCTTTGTATAGTGGCTGGATAGATTTCTAGCCTATTGCTGAACACAAAAAAGAATTAGGCCTTCATAACTCGATTTTAAAACTCCAGTTACAAGCCCAAAGATTACACGACCGTTTTTGTAAGATCTTTGCTAGGATCAAGTAGCCGCCTTGGTCACTAGACGAATCGTGTAAACTTTTTCAAAGACATTTCATGGACTTTCAGGTACAGGCCTACTGTGGTTGATATCAGCGGATATTGAGAATACTTTATTCTCTTTGCACATTTTCCCCACTCGCATTTGACTTCTAATGAAATTCCTAAACCCGTCTTGGTATTTGTCGCATGCTGATAACACTGATATTGGACGTGGGTGAACGCAGGCTGCGTCTAAGAAATCATAGAGCGGACACCCTACACCTGACGTCACCTTATCTTAGTAATGTAACGGAAAGTGTAGAGACGTACAGCCAGTCTAACATATAAATGGACTGTACATGTAAATAGTAGGTGCATGAATGCCCGTGCACAATAATTAATCAGGCTTATGGTCTTATACATGTACTGGTGTACAGTGTGGTGTCTACCTGGTTAGTAGTGCTCGGAAAGTGCTCTGTAGTAGGCAGCGTTGAATAAGGTAATGGTGTCAGCAGTGGGATAATTGTGATTGCTTAAGTGATTTCTCTGTGACATTATTTGATTGCACATTGTGTTTTGACTTGTATTGTCCTGCTGTACTGTTGGGGCTGTTTTTCAGTCATAAGAAAAGGCTCCGTGCATGATCAAGCAGGCACCTCAGATGCTGAGGCTGAGGTGCAGCAACTACGGGTGGAAGCACAATTTCTGCAGTGGGAGAAAAACCTCATTGCAAGAGAAGTTGAAAGCTGCCATTGCATCGCAGTTGGGTGGTTCCCTGCAGGGCGGGAACTCGGGCACGCTTGCTGGGAGCCGGCAGGTGCTCCATCAGGTTAACACTGATGTTGAGCAGAGGTTGCCCGAAGAGACTTATTGGTATGTCTCTGGTGCAACAGGGAGACGAGTGTCGGGTGCAAAGGTGCCTGAGTGGGCTTCCAAAGTGGGGAGGGAGGTGAGCCTTATGGAGAGTACACCTCTAAAAGACCCAGGCTCAGGAATAAAACTCCATGCAGGGTGGACGCCAATCGCCTGGGAGCGCAAAAGTCAAGTCATTGATGACCTGACGCTGTTCCTGTCAGGCAAGGGCAAGGTGCATGCGGCTTGGAACATGGTAAGTCGAGAACTAAACGAACCTTCTTTTGTGAAAAAGTCACCCTTATACAGGTGCACAGTGAGCTGCTAAGTTTTGCAACTCGACCAGTCGAGGCGAAGGCCCGCAGTTCAGTTGAAGGAGTAGGCAGCTTGCCAGTGGGTCTTTGACCACTGAAACGAGAGGCACATATCCATTGTGGCTTGGGTCAGAAAGGAAGTTTGGAGCGACTCAATCTCAGACCAAACATAACTCCTGACCAGTATAGTGAGATAGTGCTCTGGAAGGAGTACTTCAGCCTATCCAAATCATGTCGAGAGGTAAACCAGTGGAGCAAAGAGCAAGCTGCCAAGTGGCTGGCCACAAGCTTGCAAGGAGGACGCCTTGCGGTTGGTGGGTGACTCTGGCCAATGGCCAAAAGCACACATAGAGTACGCTGGTCAAGTTGCTTGAGCGCAGGTTTGGGTCGGCTCGACAGAGTAAAAACTATGTTGTTGAGCTGAGGCACCAGCGCCAAAATCCAAAAGGAAAGCTCGTTGAAGTTAAGGAAAGTAATCAATGTCTGCACGGTGCAACCATACCTTAGGACTCAGGAAGAGGCTTGAGAAAAGTTGGCAAAGAACCACCTCATCGATACCGTTGAGAGCACGAGAGGGTATCAATATGGCTCGTCCAAAATCTTTCGACGGAGCAGTCCAGGCCAGGTTGTCCTAAAGACAACTTTAAATAGGTCGAACAGCACAGATTGCTAGATTGGAAGCCCAACAAGTCGGCTACGACTTTAAACTCTAAAACATAACACAGTTTGGAGATGATGAAGTCATTGTCAGGTCAGATCAAAGGCCAGGGGCACGGCAAGGGCGCGTTTTCTCCGAATAGACCGATTCCCTGACGCCATGACTGTGGTGTTCCCGTCACTCAGGCGCGCATTCCTAAACTTGACGAGCACGAGATTTTGGTGGCAGTGCACTCCCATTGGCTGATGAGGAAGCATTCAATGTGCATTTCTTTTGTTCACGTGCGCGTGGGGGGTACGGCAGTAATGGCTCCTGGTTCTTGTCACCGAATCCTGGGAAAGCCGAGCCTGGAACCTCTAAGTGTTTCAAGTGTGGTGAGAAAGGGCATTTCGCCCAGGAGAGCAAGAAAGCTACGAAGCAGGGAAACGGCGGTCACCCCCCCCCCGACCTGCGGGGCGGCTGAGAGGCCAAAAGGGTCCAAAAGACGACTCGGTGATGGTAACGTGGAGGAGAAAAGAGATCCAAGCAAGACGACGAGCAGCGAATAATTTCTCTGCCTATTCCAAGCCGCGGTCTTCGTTACGGGTTGTTTGATGATGTGGATGGATAAGATCAACCAAGTGTCAATTCTTACTTCTTAATCGACACGGGGTCAACTTACACATTATTATAGTAGTGAGGTCTACTACGAAATCCCAAGAGAGAAAAGAGCTATCTTGGAAACAGGAGATGTCCAAGTGAAAACAGATAAACGGGAGACAACTACTTATGCTGGGTATAGCTTTGGAGAAGGAGCAAGTTGGGGCGAATTACTTACCCCGTGAAGACGGTCTTTGCTGAAATGAAGTACTGTGGTATCCTGGACATAGATTTTCTCGTGCCAACAGGTAGAAACATAGAACTTCTAACTGAGGGAGCAGAGGCTCAGTGGTGAGCAAATAAAGTTCACAAATGTTGCAGCGAGCCCTTTGTTGGACGTGTTGTGGTTTCCCAAACAGTAATCTCAGCAGGTCACAAAGTTGTGGTCAAAATAGTTTGGAAGAGCGCAGACGTGCTCGGCCAGCCCTGGTAAAACCGATGCAAGGTGATGGTGCCTTAGCCAAGAAAGGCTTGATGCTTGTCAGATCTCTGGTTGAGAGTGAAGCTGATGTTGTGCTGTTGCGGGTCTTTAATCCCGGCAGGGAGAAAAGGGTTGCCCGTGAGGGGACAACAGCGGGAGTGATTTCCAAGGTTGACGCCAGTTCAATTCATGAGGAGTTGGACGTGTGAACTTTAATAAACAGCCAATGTAAAGGCCAAGTACAGTGGGGAAGTCCGGAAATGTCTAATAGACCTCTAAGAAGTGTTGTCCAGGGATGACCATGAAATCGATCATACAGACGTTGTCAAGCATCACTCAGACACTGGTGATGCTAAGCCGATAAAACAGCGGGTGAGGCGTCACCTGTGCCTACATCAGCAGGAGATTCAGGAGCTAATACCTTCGATAGTCTCTGGGCAGCAAATGTCGTCCTTGTGGACAGAAGGATAAAACGAAATGCGTTTGCGTTGACTACCGCAAGTAGAATTCGGTTACCGTCGAGGATGCATATTCCATTCTGCGTACTGATGAAACATTCAATGCCTTGAGAGGGTGAAGTGGTTCTGTTCCTCGATTTAACATCTGTGTACTGGAAAATCAACAACAATCAAGTCAACCTTTGCTATGAGAAATGTATTGTACCGGTGGAAACACATACCACGGCCAGGGCCACTTTTGAGCGGCTCGTGGAAAATGTCAGGGCCGGCTTACAGTGGAAGATCCTACTGATCTATTTGGACGACATCAATGTGTTTGGTCAGACAGTGACCTAAGCCCGTCTCTGGGTAGTGTTTGATCGGCTAAGACACGCCGGACTTACATTGACGACTAGCAAGTGCCATTTGTGTCAAAGGTCATCGGCACATCTGGGGCACATGGTGTCTTCAGAAGGCGTGGACACAAACCAACAAAAGTTTGAAGCAAATTGGCCCATTCCTAGGTGGATTCGAGAAGCGAGAAGCTTTTGAGGTCTCGCCTCATGCTACTGGAGGTTCCCACGGAGGTTTGCAGGGATTGCAAGCCCACTCCATGCTCTGATGGCGAGGTCAAGGGAAGTTGTGCGGACTGAGAGTTATCAGGAGGCGTTTGAGGAGTGGAAGAGCAGGCTCCGAGCCGCTCCAGTTCTTTCATACCCGGTTCCTGAAGGTGACCTCATTTTGGACACCGATGTCAGTGTTAAAGGCCTCGGGGCGATTTTTTCTTAGTTCCAAGATGGTGACGAAAGGGTGCTTGCTTACGTGAACCAGAAGCAAACCTCAGAGAAACTACTGTGTCACTCGTCAGGACTACTTGGCTGTGGTGGTATATTTGAAGTACTTCAAGCAATATCTATGTGGCTGAAGGTGACGGTTGGAACTGACCATGCTGCATTGTGGTGGGTACTTAATCTCAAGAACTGTTGGGATTGAGGACTAGAAGGTTGGAAGTTCTGTCTCAGCACGACCTGGTTGTAAAGCGCAGAAGTGGCAGGAAGCATGGAAATACTGATGGATTGTCGAGACGGCCATGCAAACAGACTAATTGTGTGGCCGTGATGAAGCGGTCAATGAAGTTCAGACAACTGGTGTGGTATCCGAGGGTCAACCTAAGGATAGAGAGTTCTTATTTAGGGGCGTGGCTGCCTAAGCAACCCTTTCACAAAGTGCTCAATGGGAAAACTATTTGAAGGATGACACTATGAGTTGGCTCATAAGGTTAAAGGAATAGGGCTAGAGTCGCCCGAGCGGAAGACAATTTCCCACTTATCAGCAACCTGCAATACCTATTGGTCGCAGTGGGACCAGTCGGAGGTCCGTGACGGAGTGATTGCAAAGGAGATGACCGTACTCCGATGATGGAAAGTCCATACGGTGGCTTTCAGTGTTGCCCCTGAAGTTCCGCAATGAAATTATGGATGAGCTTTGCATGTGCACATGGGCATGAACATAATGTACATGCGCGCGTACACAAGTCATGTAAACACGTATACGGGACTGCACTTGACCCGCGACTCGCCGTTGCAAAAGTGATACTCAAATGCCAGCCCTTACAAGAGAGAGACGCAAGGGTATCCTCCTCTTTGTCAAAAGTTTGACAACACAATAACTCCAGGCTGTAAGAATTAATTGTGGACATCAAATAATGTCTACACGAGACGGATTTTTCCATAACAAAATGTCTAGATTCACACGTTTTTGCGCGAAAATTTGGTTAAAATTCAAACTGTTTAAAACAAATTTATCCGGCGGATTCCAAGCTTTTGCATGCAATCAATTTAGATACTCCTCTACTTTATTTCACTACTTTTTTTAATTCTAGGAAAACTCAATTTTAAGAGAAATTGATCTATTCAGTAAAAACACTACTCTTGGTTATTTAAAACCACATTTTGCATTACATTTTTTGACACAGGACACGAAATCAATGCTATTCATAATTAAAATAATAAATGTAATTTGGATTTATCAGAAAAATTCCATTATTTATGGTTGGTTTCCTGAAATTCCTTCAACAAAGACAACGCCTCATTTTGCCACCAGAGCGCGCGAAATCAGACATGGCCTGTTGCTAAATTGTTGGTAAGCACAAATTTGGTCACGCACAAGGTTGGTAATGAACGCCATGAACATAATTATGTGGACTAAAGGCTAACACGGATTTGAATCACGATCATCCTAGAGATCCATGTGAAACAAAGACTTTGCTCTATGTCTGGACACTTCTACACTGACTGCGTTATTTTCCGCGGCGTTATCATAGTCTGTTGCCACTCACACATTTATATTGGGTAAAGCAAATACGTTAGGTTCCACTCCACCTTCAACGATTCCTGTTCCTCTATTTCGGAATAAATCTCACAATTAGATGGACTAGCTAAGAGTGATTTACGCGTCTTAAACATTAATGAATATGTGCTTGGCCAGTCTTCAACGTGCATTTATGACTGGCTAAGGCTATTAGGAGAGTGGATGCGACTAATGCCTGAGCTGCAGGTGAGGTCATTATCAGCGTTCAGTATCCTGAACCGGTCTTAAACGTTTTTCCCATTCATAAATACCCTTTTTAGTCAGATAGTCAAAAGAAATCAACACATGATAGATTTCTAATGATTTTATTGTAGAATTTTACTTTCATTTCCCTGAACACCGCGTCCATTTCATTTTATAATTGTCCAAAATAATTTTTTATATGGACTTAGCGAGCGCGGCGAGCCTTGTGCACGCAGAGTTTGACCAATCAGAATCGATTAAACTGTCTCGTATCCAGGCGCCAGTGTGTGGTTTACGCAGCGGGCATTATTTCTCAGCGGGCATCATCAAATGCTAATACACGTACGGTCAAGTCGTACGTTGTTATAGGGAGACTGTGTGAGGTAGTTATGAATGTGTATTTGCTACACGTCATCGTAAGTCCTCGCTTCACTGCATTTGGGGCGTAACAAAGTCAGCTTACATGTATCTTCATGTATGCCTGTTATGCGTTTCCACCCACTAATTCATCAAACCAACACAGAACAAAATTTTACCCCGTGTCTCCGAAATCGGCCCAGTTGGCTGTGGAAAAAATGCCTCTTATTTCTTTTTTCTTGATTTTCAGCCGATAAATTAATTATATAGGCCTATTGGGTAGCCAATCTATCTCCAAAACCCTCAGTGTCGAAATATTTGAAGCCCTTTGGGTTAAGATCAGCTAGCCGGCTTATCAACAGTTTAAGATTGGCCACGTGATGGTCTCTTCGACCAAATGGAAAGGCTAAACGGTGTTTGGTATATTCTAAAACATAATATGACATGGCATGGAAACCAGCCTAGATTTTTAGGGTTCCATCTGCTTTGGTGCTTTATTGGATGCATAGCGCATTACATGAAGAAAACTCCTATTTCTCTCATCAAAACCTTCCAACAAATTTAAAGCATCACCACCATCACTGCAACCGGTAATTCTACTTCACATGAATTTAAATGTAAAGGTGCCAAATTCAACTTTGGAAAGCAGTGGCTTATAAAGTGATTCCCCGCTGACGACTTTGATAATTGTGCACTCACCTTAATGGGAGCTTTTCTTGACACAAAGGAAACCATGAAATTCATAGCGATGTCTTCACAATTCATGATTTTGTCTACATGGTCTCTGATGGCTTGTGGCATTACGTAAGAGTAAACATAGCTGTAGTACTGTAGAAGGAAACAAACCAAATACATGTACTGCCCATTTAGCCATGCATTTTTACAATTTATATATCCAAGCTTGAAATTAAATTTTGTGCACTCTAACGGACGACTTCGATCAAGACTAACTAACCTTGTGCAAAAAGGCTGCTCCGGTAAGCACCATTGACACCTCACACGACTTTTCTGCGTCATATCTGAAGTTCTTGTTGTTCACATCCATTGCGTGGTTACGGCCGGGAAAACCCACAATCTGGTCCCGGTTCTCGCGCCATACTCTTAAAAAGAAGAAAACCCATCTTAATACGTTTGTAAAAGTGGCTGCATGGGAAAATCTGCAATGGAACGATCCAGTAAGCCCCGCCCACTAAGTACATTAACACTTGTTCTTCTCCAGTATCACAATACAGGTATCAGCTGCGCCCATCTAAAATACATGCGTACACGCATTTTGGACTTTTGCGCACACATAATTGGACACAAATCATGGCTGTGATTGGTCAGGAACACAACGGGGCGGGGCTCAATTGATTGGTCTATCATTAGCTGATTTTCAAGTAGGTGCCCCCATCAACATGAACAACACACACCTGAAAGCTAAATGGATCTCATTATGCGTCAGCCTGTGGATATCGTCGTCTAGGCAAAGAATGGCGTCAGTTTCGATCTCGTCAAACGGAAGAAACCGATTGTTCATGCTATTCTTCGCCTGTAGGATAATCTGTGTAAGGAACACCACGTAAGGCTTATACTGATTAACTACAACATATCTTCCTCAGTGAATAAAGACCACAATCCATGCATGATGGTCTTTTGTTTTTGCTAAGGCTCAAGGGCATACCAGAATCTGGTCTGGTTAACCTTTGCGCCTAATTTCTGTATTTTTCAGAAGCTCTATGGCCAGACCATAAACTTGTTCAAGGAATGGAGATACATTTTCAGACTCTATGCTTCTAACATGTGGAACAATCAAGATATTTTTTTGAAACACGTCACCTTAAAAGGAGGGGGGTGTAATAAAAACTAATTGACATTCACATATGAGTGTGTCCGAGTCAGCCTTCACAAAACTCCACGGGCTACTATACCTGCATAGGTACCCGTTGTTTCGGCCACTTCGCATATAAAGACGGCGGCTTTGGATGATTCCACACTATCAAAACCTGAAGCAACAGTCAAGGAAGGATGTTGGTGAAAAATTAAAGAGGAAAATCCAGGGTTTAAGTATCCTTCAAAATTTACATTTTGATTCCAGGGAACATAGAAACATCTCTATCGGTAGATAGTCTAATAAATATTATACTACACGGATATTGTTTATGGACAACTCTGTAGGCCTATTCTACCTTGTTCATGTAGGGCAGCCCTTGAAGGCGCCCAAGGAGTGTGATCAGCTGAGGTTCTCTGTCGTAAGTCATAATGATGACGGTGAACTGCTCAATCGGCGAATTGCCCCCAAGCGACTTTCGAAACATCTCCCCGGTTTTCCTGGTTCCTTTACTGATTGGCTCAAAGGTTTGCCCTGACTTCTCGAAGTAGACATCGGAAGGAAGAACAGGTTCTATGGGCGTGCTGGGATAAAGATGGTAAGGCCCAGGGAATGAGTTCCAGGAAGGCTCCCGCGCCCAGCTCAGGTACGAAGAGTTCCGTAGGTATTTTGTAGATGATGAAGAGCGTTTCTGGGTTGGCCCAACATCTATTCGAGTTAAACCTTGGCTTGGCGTTGCCGGTATAGGTCTTGGAGGAAGCGACAATCTGGTGCGGAGTGTCGCAAGGATACCGTTCATGACTGCTTCAGTGGAGCTCAGGTACGTCGTCCATAGGAACCACCCCTGGCGGCGCAAGGCCAGTATGTCGCTCTCGTGGATAGACGAGAGATAATGGATCATTTCCTTCGCTCGAGCCTTGGGCAAGATTATCACTGCCTTCTCCCATGCGATGAAGTCGGCAAACGGGAGTCGAACCTGTTCCCCTAAGACGACGGGCACAGCATTTTGCCTCAAGGCTTCGTGTAGTCTCGCCTGCAGCATTGTCGAGGACAAGATCCTGTCAGCGGGGGCTATAATCAACGCAAACGTTGACTGTCTCAGAATTTCAGCTCTCTTCTCATTATTGTCACACATCCACCATTCCGAAGGATACACAAAGTCACGGTCAGCAATGATTTGTGGGCAACTGAGATCAATATAAACTTGATTTCTGTACACTGTCTTCAAACTCTGGATAGCATCATGGATGCTGTCTACAGAAGGAGAAATCCTGTGTGGTAACTGAACACCCTGGAATGACAGTAGGTATTTTCTCTTGGCTGGTGTCAGCCGAGGTGTTCCATGCCAGTCAAATGCGGTATCTGTCCCCAGAAGCATCGGGGTGACAATATCAAAGCCCGGCCGAAACTGTGACGCTCGAAAATTGGACTGGGCAACGATTGCATGGCTACTGCTGACAGTTTGGAGAACATTGTGGGAAGACACGTTCCTTGCTAAGTTTAAGAGGACGTGATTTTGTCCTGTCCCTTTCCAAGATGGCAGCTTTGAGAAACTCGCCCCTACAGATTTTGTAGGGCTCAATCCGTTTCCACTGGATCCTTCGACCAGAACTAAAAATACGCAGGCAGTATTTTGATCGGAAGTATGGTACGGATTGATTGTCATGACCTTTTCAATACCATTTGGCAACTCTCCACGACCTTGATAAAGGTATGCCGAAAAGTCTGAATTTAAAGGACATCGCGAGTAATCAAAACAGTTGCTCAGCCGACATTCGTTGGTAGGATGGCCACCATGGGCATCATTTTCGAACTCTTGCCTCGCTTCGTTTTGGCAGTTATTTCCTTGGATCCAGGGCTGCAATTTAGAGAATGAGTCAACTTCTTGTACGGCACTCCTAATCTCCTTGCTTTCCGTAAGAAGCTTGCTGATGTAGTGGGCGCACTGGTGGAGTTTCATCTGGAGGTCAGCCTCTTCCCTTCTGCTGGTTGGACTGATACTGTCCAATGCTGGACTGCATACGGTAAAATCAAGTCCGTCAGCACCATCTGTAACTGACTGGGCTAACCTTGTTCTTTTCACTATCCAACCTCCGTTATGCCACACAAGAAGGTAAAAAGCAACAACCACAACTACAATTAACGAGTACAGCTTCCGGCTGGCAAAGCCTTTGCGGAGAACACCCATCGTCTGCATGTCCATGCTGTTGAACAAACAAGTGCTACGTATAGCCAGTTTCATTCAGTCAGTGCTTGTCACATGCAAACACGTAGCATCAATCTCTTTTCTGTTAATTGTCACGTAGACCGTTAGACGATTCAAGACAATGTAGCTTTAGAATCCTGCTCCTGTTTGAAAGCAAAAATTTACTGTTCAATTGCATTTTTCATAAAAGCTCGCAACAATGAGGCAAAGTGAACTGAGAGCCATGTGCAAGCATACCGTTTACACTCCTTATATTCTTTCTGCTTAAGTGCACTAGCCGTGCGCGGGGGCGCTGGTCTTTCAGTTTCTTTGATTTTGTAGCCACTTTTATACGTTGGGGTAATTTTTCTGCTCGAGCCCTCTTCTCCAGGCTTCCGCCTGCACTGGTCTTATTACCAGCAGGTGTTATCCAATCGATACCTGCCTACAAATTCCTTCGAAAACAATTGCCTCAGGTCTAAGATAAACATCTGGAATAAAAGGATCCATTCCTCAAAACTTTAACCTTAAGTGGCCAAAGATGGAACAGAAATCCCGTTACCTTTCCCACCGCTGCATTTTCTTTTTATGCCAAAGCATTCTAGGAGGTTTTAAAGTAAGGTTTGCCGTCATGATTTGACGCTGTTTTCTAAGACAGTTGGATGCACTATTCTTGTGATTTACGGCAAAGACGTAAAAGTTTCAAGAAATTTTGCAATTTTTCATTATCCGTAAGGATAAAGCACTGCTTCATAAACATTCACATAACAAATATTAATTACCGTTTAACTACATACACGTGGACACACGAGATAATTATTATGAAAAGTTCATGTACGCTTTTGGAAATATGGGTCTGTCATCCAAAACGTGCTTTAGTCATATTTGGCCCATGTCAGTCGTTTCTTGATTTAGATTTGAGCACAAGTGTAATTGTCAACTAGACCAAAGACGTGTATCGACTAGCTCTAGTCTTCGAACCCCCACTTTTGAAGGTGGAGTCTTCCCAAAGAAATCGGCGCCTCAACACCTACTAGTTAAATGAACTATCCCAGGTTGCTCTTGGTGCCGTACATAGTTTGCACAAAAGAACTTTCGAACAGTACAATAGCTTTCATTTTTGGCCCTACTGGGTTATGGTTGTAAGAGAGTTTGAAATAGGTTTGGAATTTTGTGGTAAACAGTGTGCAGTCGCACGGTGTTATGTTGGCAGTATATTAGTCAGCACACACCCACATTGAGGCTACACAAAATGAAAAAGACCCATTTTCTCATCCACAGATGCATTATACATTTCGAAAAGCTTTGACCAAAAGAATACATGTCGCCCACGGGAATCAGAACTGTTTGTATGCAACAGCTATCAGAGTTCGACCTCCGATGATATAAATCACCCAATTAAAATATATAATTAAAAAAGCAGCCCTCACCCCCGAAAAGTAAAAACATTTATTTCGTATTTCTTATGGCTGCACGCATGGGAACTATACAGGCTCACTCACGTATTTTAAACTAGGAACGCATTCTATTCGCCCTGAGTTGAGGTGCACCCTCACTGGCGAAAGAAAGACAAAGTGGAACAAAGTTCTCCGACTGGATTCTTACACGCGTTCGGCGTGTACGCGTAAGACCATACGGTCCAGAATAAATTCGTTGTGCGTACTCAAAGTGCTCCGTCAAAGGCAGCCGTGAGTTCGTTCTAAATGACTGTAAATTTCATTTAAAAACACGCCCTCTCTTGTTTTCGCTCGAAACGGATACGTAGTAGCGCAAAAATAGTGTATTCGCCGCAAACCATCAGAGTGCAATACAAGCCCTCTACTTTCGCATTCATTGAGGGAATCGTATTTTACAATTCAGCAGAAATTTTCCAATCTAAACTGCAAGTAAGTTCGTTTAAGGTACTATTTACCCGCGAATTTTTGTAGAAAAATGAAAAGCAGACAAGAGTAGTGGAAGGGACCACTTTGGCACACTTTGACCTTTTCTAAAGAAAGAGGAAAAGGTCACACAAATATGCGTAAGCATAGTAACTATGATAATAGTGATATGAATTTGTATTGGATGGATAGAAATAGGGCCTAAAAATGTTTGGAACTGGTCCGGTTTCCTATGAAAAAATTGCACAACATGATGAAATATGATGATTGAAATAGAGCATGAGTCATATTAAGCGAAGTCATGGAAAAGTAATGACAAGGCACTCCAGAAGTGAGCGTTGATCTGAGATAATCCCTAAACAATGGACTGCATGTTGCGCAGGGTAATGGGGATAATCACTTGTACAGTGGACTGTATGTGGCGCCAGGTAATTTACGCATAATCTTTCGGACGAAACTCTCGGCAAAACATAAAAGACATGACAATAGCTGACGGCAAAAAGTTATCTGTACAAAATCGTAATATTTGATGACGACTAAAAGATAATAAAATAAAAGGAGATATTAACCGTAAGTACAGAAGAAGCCTTTGATTAAAGCTATGTCACATAATGGGAGAAGAGGGCTCTTTTGTAATAGGTCTTAAAGTGGCCCACAGACAACTTTGTCCTGATGTCATCGGGAATGGCATTCCACAAACGGGTATCGAAAAAAACGAAAAGTGTTCATTGAGTGGACGGTGCGAGTGAAAGGAATAAACTTATTGTTATGGGATCTAGTAGAGTTACCGTGGATTTCATTAACCGATGTAAAGTAAGAAGAAAACGTACTAGGGAAAAGATTATTGATGTACTTGAACATGAAGATACCAGTGTGTAAGTTGTTGATGTCGGTAACAGTGAGGGTGCCTAAACATGCAAAAAGGGGTGCAGTGTGGGCCCAAGAGTGAGACAAGGTGCAAGTATGAATCGCCTTTTTTTGAGTGATACGCAAAGCGTTCAATTTGTTTTTCGCTGTGCATGCCCAAACGATGTTGCAATAATTTGAATACGGAAGAATAAGTGAATTGTACAAAAACAATGCCAAAGAGGTACTCGGAAAGAAACGTAAAAATTGGATAAGATACCGGTGTGACAAGAGACAAGTTTGTTTATGGAAGAGATATGTTCTGTCCAACAGAGCTTTTGATCGATAATAACACCCAAGAATTTGGTAGAATAGATCATATTGATAAAGGTACTGTCAATAACAAGAGGAGGCAAGTGGATATTCTGAGAATGTGACAACTTGGTGAAGAAAATGAAACTAGTTTTACTGTGGTTTACAGAAAGTTTGTTGGCTTTAAAACGTGAAGAAACCACACGGAGCTCAGAGTTGAGAGTGTCTACCAGAGAAGCAATGTCGGGGCTGGAGTGAAAGAGAAGAGATGATGAGTTGTGAAGATCATTGATGTAAAGCAAGAAAAGAAGGGGCCCCAGGATAGATCCTCGGGGAACTCCATGCTGGATGTTCAAACGATTAGAATCACAATTCATAATGGAAGTAATTGAGTACCTGTTAGAAAGATAATCAGTAAACGACTGAAGTGGACTACCTCTGATGCCATTAGTGATAGAGTTTGGAAAGAAGAATAGCATGATTGAGATTGTCAAAAGCTTTAGAAAGATCAATGAAAACACCAATGACACATAGTTTAATGCTGGGGGCATTCGTAATCTTGTCGACAAACTCAATGAGGGCCATGTCGCTAGAGTGGTTAGATCTAAAGCCGAAGAGGTAACTTTACCCTCGTGCTATATAATAATGTGCAGACGTTCCCGGCCGGTATCCGACCCGAGAATTATTACTCGATAGTCATACTGGTCAGTCACAACACAAAACAAAGTCAGTAGACTTTTACGTACTGGCTTAAGTCATGTTTTTATTTTTTTCATATCTGACTAATTTTAAGAATTAATACAAGACGTTTGTTACATTTTATATCAGAGATACTACATGTACTAATTTCTTTTAATTGTTCAATGGCTCTTTTCCCATTCTTCATTTGCTTATTTTGTTGCTCATTTTGCTCTTTTCATTGCTCATTTTCCCCTTTTTATTGCTCGTTTTGCTCTTTTTACTGCTCATTTTGCTCTTTTTACTGCTCATTTTGCTCTTTTCACTGTTCATTTTGCTCTTTTCATTGCTCATTTGCTCTTTTCACTGCTCATTTTGCTTTTTTCACTGCTCGTTTTGCTATTTTCGTTGCTCATTTTGCTCTTTTCATTGTTCATTTACAGTCAAACTCCATGTGATTGCGCTCCTTTTAAAGAATGGAAGCGAGATTGCTGAGCTGCAGCTCTTATACCTATGTGGCCAAATAAATTGCAAAAAATGATGATATGATTGAGTAAGTTGGACTAATGTTTCGTTTTTATAAATCTCATTTGAGCAATGAGCAAAATGAGCAACAAAAAGAGTAAAGAATGAACAATGAAAAGAGCTAATGAAGAATGGGAAAAGAGGCAATGAACAATGAAAAAGTGAATCACGAGCAGTGAAATACATATACATGTCGAAATATGTTATTATATTACTCATTATATATTGAACGATTACATTTATTTCTTGGCATATTTAGATCATCCTTCCAAGGATCGCCATACATGTTATTTATGCTGTCAAGCCCTATGCTTGTCACCAGTGTGACAAATGCTTTGGACAGAAGTCTAATCTAGAGAGGTACATGGAAAATATCCACGCTGAAGAGGAATCAGACATGGCAGAAGTTAACGATGATTTGGAACCTGTTGAGGTAAATGACGAAACCTCGGATGAAGATAGTTCAGAAAAACAAATAGGGAGATGTGGGATGAAAAATTGTGCAAGTACGACAAACAAAGGCATGAATGAAGATCAAACCAGGTAAATGGCAAACCAGTTCAAAGGATTAAGCAATTCAGATAGGGCCAGCTGGGTCTTCTTCCTGTATCAATCAGATCTCCGTAACCACAGTAAGCCGAGCGCAACACGGTTAGCACGTGCCTGCCCTCTCGTTTGTTTAGTGTCCAAGCATGGAGGAAGGACACAGAAGGAGTTTAAACTGTCCGGGCTATAACATCTGGCATGCGTTGGTAATCTGTATCCCTAAAACGTTGTGTACTGCAGTATAAGAAGTTGAATAGTCATGCCATCGTTGGTACTTGATAGGATCTGACAACAACATCAAATTTAGTGCTGGCCCCTTTGCTTTTATCGGGCTGTGTACCCGAAGTGTTCATGTGCACTTGTTGCCCTTATCAAACGCTTTCTTCTGGACTTCTCTTGGGAATGAATAGTCAAGCTGTTTGTAAGATTTTGAGTTTTATTTGAATCAGTTTTATTAAGAAATTTACACAAAAAGGTATTTTATGAGATCTCATGATCATTCCCCGTGATGAAACAGCGCATTTTATTTTTTTGTGAACTTTGAAAACTGATGTTTTGGAGTGACAAAATAAAATTACAAACATATGCATGGATAATGGAAAAGGGCAGCAAAATCCTTAAAAAAATATTCCAAACGACAATGTTAGCTATTTTCTTTTTCTGTTTCCTGGTCACTGCAATAGGTTGTAGTTAATTTCAAAGAAAACACCACAAATATTGTTACAATATTACTGGCCTCACCTGTCTGGCTAAGCTACAGGCATTAATCAGGCATTTTTGGAATGTTTCCTACTGTTCGTCTGACCAGCCGGGCGGCGATGATCGTCGGGCACTTTGATGTGCCAGATTTGTAACTCCTTCTGTGTCCGTCCTCCATTGTCAGACCAGCGCTCACTCCAAAGTACACACTAGCCACCACACAGCGCCGTGTATACAGCCCTTTTTCCAAAAGATAATAATCCATTACCTGGCGCCAAGAACAGTCCATTGCATATGGATTATCTCAGATCGACGGTCCCTTCCGGAGTGCCTCGTCAGTATGTTTCCATGACTTCGTGTAACATCACTCGTCCTGTATTTTAATCATTATTTTTCATCATGTTGTGCATTTTTATAGGAAAGGTTCACCTGTACCAAAATTTCTTACCCTGTTTCTCTTCATCCATAATGTGTGCCAGGAGTTTTACCCATTCCTCATTCTTATTTATTTCTTACCATACACAAGGTCACAAAAGGTTTGGACCCTATGTTATTCCTAAGTTATTTCAACCTGTGCCAGAATGTTTACCATTTACCTTTCCTCGTTCCAACCATACAAAGGGTCTACCAGTACGCCAACCGTAATTTTCAACGATACATCCACACAAAAGGACAGCTTGTGCCAGGAGTATTACCCATTCCCTCTTATTTATTTCTTACCATACACAAGGTCACACTAGGTTTGGACCCTATGTTATTCCTATTCATCCCTTACAAAAGTTCAGCCTGTGTTTTATTCCTATTCATATCAATGTTATCATAATTATTATGCTTATGCATATTCATGTTGCCTTTATCTATTTCTTTAGAAAAGGCCAAAGTGTGCCAGACTGACTCCACCCTACTGACAAGATCAAAAACCAGCGGGGAACTACAACTTGGTAAAGGCCTAGGCCAACATCCATAATCCCATGAGAAAATAAATAATGGTTGTTTCACCACGAATTTTTATTGACGCTTGGTCGCCGTGCAAAGCCCGTAGGCTGGGGGGTGTTCGAACCCCTTCGGTCGCTTCTGAGTTCCGCTTGTTGGTTAGTTTTTAATGAAAATATATTTTTAATATATATGTACCGTAATTTTCGGAATAGAAGCCTTGGCTCACACGTTGATTTGAAAATATCCCTGAGGCTTATACTCTGGGTGGCTAAAACGGCAACATTTCAAGAATGTAACTAATCACTAAACCGTCGCTGCGCCGCGCCTCAGCGCAGCCCTGACGCAGGACGCCGCCCTAGGCCGCCGAGGCCAGCCACGTTAGCTCGGGGAACAAGGCGGTCATGTTTTCGTTGGTTGCTGTTTACATATTAGCTCTTCTCACGTGTTGGAAATGAAGGAAACCAGTCCAGCGAGACTATATAAGCATCATTCACACCTTACAAATCATGTGGTGAGTCTGTTCACTTTTGTCTTTTACGGTTGTGTCATCCATGTTGTTTATTACCTCTGATCATTTGGTAACTGTTAAAAAAAGAATTGCTGCATGGCCCACCAAGGGAGACTAATCCGGCTTGCGAAAATTGGCAATTTCGAAGATTTCAGAAAGTTTTAGTTTAATGACGACACTTATTCGCACGCTGCTTCACATTACACTTGAAGATTGCGAACCTGAAAGTGGCGCACGGACCCCGTTGGGCATCTCGAATTTTCGCTTCCCACCGTTTGTGTGTGGACCAGTATTTTACCCCTAACCTCATAAAAGGTAAGATTTAACCAAATTCCAAATACTTTCATATACCAACTTCAAAGTTTCGACGAAATTTTAGTTTGGCTGATTTTCATATTTTTTTATGGAAGTGCAAAATGAACTCTCTGAAATGCCCCCAAATAATTTTTCAACTAGAATTTATAAATTTGACTATTTGAAATTTTTTGTGGGATTTTCTGAGATTTTTTTTATATTGTTCATATCATTTGCTTTCACCGAGCCCCCGATTCAGTTGAGGGCGCTGGATAACGAGCAAATTCATACTAGGCCCATTTAGGACACGTATATATTGAAAACTCAGTGTACACGTCTTATACGAGCATCCTTCGGTTTGCGAAAAACATGCAACTTGTTTCAAAGTACATTATGATAGGCCTTTGTATAAAGACATGTATTCACAGTGGCAAAAGCCTCCACTGTTGCGTTTGACCCCCCCCTCCTCCGTCTCTGGTCAGGCAGGGGGCCTAATTTTGCAAGTGTGTCTTTGTAAATACAGGGAATAAGTACCTGGGGCAGACCCTCTGTGGTTTGTGCATTTACCTGGATCGCTAAACACTCATCTACATGAACAGTAAACCAGATATAAGAATGCGGTCAAGAAAAGAAGAGCGAGACCAATAAATATTGAGGGAGGGGGAGCTGTTGATGTAAAAAAATGTAACGCCACAACATGTCTCATAGGAACAGTCAATAATAAGATACAGTCACCACGAATTGTGAAGACTTTCCCCATTATAAAAGTTATTTGAGTTTGTTACGGAGTATCATTTTCCTGGCTGTATTGATAGAACATTGATAGCAAGTTTATGCACAAAAAAAACAACTCTTTGATGGGACAGGTGGATAGGTATACTTTGAGACAAGTTCAATGAGATGTCATCCCATGAACTGGGTCGAATGCCACTGGGTCCCTAGTTCAATTAGGCATGTACCCCAATTCTGCTTATTTTTCTCCCATTCCTTTATTTTCTTCTTTTTCTTAATCAAATAATGTTTGCTTTCTATGTATATGTGTTTTCTTCTATTTTTGGAAGAGTCAACCAACGGAGGATTTTTTAATGGAATTAAAAGTCCGAGTTTACTTGTTACAGACTGGTTGACTGGATGCAACAGAGCTGACAGTAATCAGTTTTAACTTTCGTAACAAGAGCAACGGCCTTTTTATATTTTACAAAGGAATCAGAAGCGGGATGGCACATGCCCCATAGGTACACGCTGGTGTAAATTCAGTCACACCGCAGTAAAATCTTGATAACGCAGTTTTGAATGACAAGAACCAACTCACGAACACTGTTCACGAACAGGATTGATTCACCGCCCGCTTTCTAGGGAGCAGATGAAAAACGAACAAAGATGGCGGATCTAGGCCCTTGCCACTACTAGCGTATATCTGTATATAAAAATAAAAAGGCACTATTTCCGGTCAGGAAATACATGTAATGATAAAAACATAAAATTGCTTTTCTTCGTCAACTTTTTATATCCTTCAGGGGCTTGAATGTTTCCTGAAGATCATTAGCTTTCTAGATGGTTCCCTGACCAAAGATTCCCTGACGTTTCTTGATACATGTAAACATTTTAGGTCAGGTATCATTAAAGATTAAAAAACAGAAATATAATCAAAACAAAAATACTCTTAGAGCATGTATTTTTTGATTTGCTGTCATTTCAACGTATAAATAGACAGGCCTGCAACTTGCATTTGGGCAGAATGCCAAGAAAACAGTACGATCGGGAAAATGCAAATGGTCCAATTTTTCTAGAACTTAAGGTTTAGCAACAGCATAAAGAATTCACGTCGTTTAATTTTAGAAATTCAAAAACTTCAGGATCCATAAATAATAACACGTGTATTGCCCACATAAGGGCCCCTCTTTTAATTCTAAGGCCTTGTCTCATTTCCGACCGACCCTATTTTCGGCTCACGACATAAAAAAAAGACTTTTTCCCCTTACAACCCATGCTGAGAAGGTCCTAAAGAAGAAATTAAAGAAAGGAAAATTAAATGACCTGTACAGCTCGGAAATGCACATGTGCGATACGCTTCACAGCAACCGCTGGAAAAGCTCTTTTTGCACAACATAATGGGGCTTGCAACCATTTTGGACGGAGCACTCTGATTGGCAAAGAATCTGTATATATGAATATTTATTTATAGGCGCTCTTTGATTGGCGTATAAAAAGGACAGCTAAACGTTAATTAGCAATAACTCTCGTTCACTGACAAAGGTTTTTCACATTATTCAAAAAGATGAAATGCCATTAAAACACCAGTTCTTTTACCAAGAAATCTAGGTTTGTCCTTGAAAATGTATGTATACTTTGTCTTGAAGCTTCGTATAAAAAGGGATAATGCAAGGTATGAAAGAAACTGACACTAACCAAATAAGGCCATCCCTCCAAGCATCGTATCTGGGCCGAATCAGCACGGCATCGTGGGCAACGATGCACTGCGCTGGATGCATGCCGGATCATATCGGTTATTCTGGAGGACTGACTATAAACGACTGGATTTCAAGCCCAAGTATAGCACGCAGTGAGCGATTCAACACGCGATTGGACTGGCCGGCCTCATGTGCAGGCCAGGCTCTGCATGATTCACTTTGACACAGGATGTATCGACCCACCATTAAAAAAGTGCATATGAAAGTGCCGATCGATGTTCAGATCAATTTTATTACAGAGTACTCGCTGATAAACATAACAAAGAGTCTGTGACATTTTAAAGGTATACTAAGCATTCTTTCATTAAATGCGGTACAAGTGAATTTATAACCGTCGCGTTCATACGCCATTCTCGATGTACCTGAGCACACATACATCAACTGATAAAGAGAAACCCCGTGGAGGGATTAGCTGCTTATCTATTCACTCTGCTTACACACCCAGTATATAAATATATGATATTAAATATTCAGAACGTATCACAAAAACAAAAACAAACAAGAAAAAAATAAATTAAAAATCCTCATTACAGTCAACAAGGCATCAAAATACATAAACAACTACAGTTGTGCTCAAAATTATTTATACCCTTTGGAAAATAACATACTTTTCTAAATTCTTCCTTGGTACTTCCACTACGTGTATATCGTTTACCTATTTGTTGCAATACACAAACCTACATGTGTGTTGGCTAAACTTCATTTGCATAATAATATATACGGCCCAGGTTTCCTTTTTTGCTACTATAACGTCAATATATGATTATTTCCCTATATCAAGTGGCAGTCTGTTCCACTGAGTATGTGCAAACATGTACTTATGCGTGCGCTTGGACTTTTGCTCATACTGGAAAAATGAACTTTACAACATCACATACTGTAACGTCAATTAACCGCCTTATTGGGTTTCTCAGGCCGACAAAAGACACTGTGAAGGCTTCCCCTCGGTTTTTGTGGCTCTTGGCCTGTTTATTATCACACCGTCATTCCTGTCAGGCATCAACACCCCAACACACCCAAAAACAATGTGCTTCCCAAAACGCTACTGTGCCGGCGTCGCGGCAACGGGTCTCTCGGGTTTACCAGTAGGGTCCCACCACACCACTCTACCGTGGATCCGTGCTAACGCACCCAATTGTCATCCAACACAAACGCTACAATACCATATTCTGAATATCGAGCCCATTAGCTAATATCAATCCTTTTTTGCGTTATACTACTCCCGACAAGTCATAGATATTTTGTGAGATTCCCAGAAACGCGATTTTGTATTGAAAAAATTAAAATAAGGGAGTCAGAGCAAAACACGTTTACGTTGCCCAAGAATATATCGGGCTCTCGAAGCTTGTTTAGGTGCTATACAGGCAGTTTTTGTTGCTATTGGAAAAAAGTCTACATGAAGGTTTTAATATCTGCCATAGACATTACTGAGATAAGATTAAGAATGATACAAAGAAAGCTATCCACATAAAGAGAACAAAACACTGTTTGGCCGAAATATAGGTTAGCGTGGCGGTTTTTAGTTGTTTCATCCCCACAAGAATATTCATTATTCTCTCATGTGCATGAGCGGTTATATACACGACCAGCCAGCACACTTGCTCACCGAACTCAGGAATGCACCCCGGCTCCGCAAGGCACAACTTCACCCACACCTCAACTCACAATCGACATGTTGACTCATCGATGTGTGGATTGCAACTAACATGGCGATCGCACGAACGCGTGTGCGCGAACCCCAGGGCGCACTTTGATATAGAAGTGTCATAGGGGTGCACCGTGGTAAATAGGCCAGAAATATGTACAACGCGCTGTCTCAGAGCCATGGAATTGGGGAATTGAAGAAATATAGCACTGAACCTCTGGCCCGGATTCAGAACTTCCAATTTTAAGCAATTTGGATGCAATCAGGTCCAAAAGATTTAGCCATTTTGTAGAGGGATGGATTTTCAAAATGGCTACTTTTCCGGGCAGAGAAATCTCCTTCCTTTTTTGGGGATGAGCATTTCTCAAAAATTCATCTGTCATCTCACTAAAAATTGAAGGATAGTGAAAGAGGACATGTCGAACATCTTTTTTCTGTGCAGCCTGAACAGCTGTGAGAGTTATGAGTATTTTAAAATATTTGTGAAGTAGCATACGGAGATTTGTCACTGCTGTCTATGGGAATGTATATGCTGTGGTGCACCCATAGGGTCGCAAGCCATGCAGTAAATAGACCGAAATTAAACTGCTTGGCTTGCGCGGTCCAAATCAGAATTTGTGTGCACTAAAATTCTTTACAAGTTTATGGGCCACTATGCACCCATTCGATTCGCTGCTTTCTGTGCTTTCTCTTCGGAATTTGCACTTTGTCTTATCGTACGACCCCACACAACAACTGGATACCATTTCTGTCTTTATTACTCAAGCTATGACCAGGTTCAATGGTAAGCAATGTATGTACAGTATGTACATTGAACATCAATACGTGTTTACAAATGCACAGATACGTGTTTACATTATGCATAAATACCCACTTTGGCATCACTCAACGTACTGTAGTTTATATTGCCAGCCCTTTTTTTTTTTAACTATTTCCGATTCAAAGATTTATTTTTTGTCCTTGAGCCCTTGAAGGCAATGTTGATAAACAGTAAAAGCAGCGGCAGCAATAATCACGTTATATTCAACAGTCACATGATGTGGGGCATTATTCAATAATGATCACCAAACTGATGACAAAAACATGATAGATATCGCTAATCCAAAAACCATTGAGACAAATACAATCTCTAGGATTATGTTCATTGATAATTACGTGACCTTCACCAATCGATTCATGGCACAATAAATGTTAGTTTAGTTAACAATGAACGAGACAACCACGTAATAATAAGGCAATTAGATCACGCTGATTTTATTGTAACAAATTACGTCATCTTTACTAGGGATTGATGATATATGTAAAACCAGAAATGTGATTATTAAAGAATAAAAATCACCGTGTGGCAGCCATATATGTTTCTTGTTACCAATAAAGGTACGATGTTTGTGCTCCCTCTGGACCCCCCCCTAATTTTCAACAGCCTACACGGGGAACAGCCTGGTCACAGGCCCACAGCTGCGTGAGTGGGTCAGTGTCCACCCACAGCCATTCTGACACCTGGGCTGTGTTCGGGCGGCTTGTTCCCGTATGTTCACGAACAGCTTGATTTGTTGTTCGTGGGTAAGCCGCTCGAACGCCGGGAACAAACAACCGGTTTATCACAAGCAACGCGCAACATGGCGGCGTCCATGTACGTTATTCAAGAGTTGAGGCTTGGATGGGCTGAA